GTTCGTTACCAAAAAAAAAAAACGAATGCAAACTAATATTTCCTGCTTTTGCAACAAAATTATATCAAATTAAAATGCAATTTATATTTAGAAAATTTGTATATATTCATCTCAAATAGGTTTTTTTAACAATAAGTATAAATTGGAGCTATATTTCTGTAGAAAAATATATTTGACCATATTAAATATATTTTAAATAAAAAAAACTCTTGACTGAGCCAACACATAATTTGAGATGGCCTAACTGATTGGCTGTTTTTCTTTCTATAGACCACAAGGGTTAGTTTGGGCTATGGTAAGAGCCTAAGAGGTCCCGATTACTATTATTTCCTTAAAGTAACCAATGATAACATTATGATTAGAGGTGATTAGTCTTATTAATCCTCAGCACCCACGATCAATTAATTACAATTACAACACTAGCTAGTAAGTACACGAGATTGGCCAAAATTTATAGTAAATGCAAACATTAAAAGAAGATAAAGAAAGTCTCCGATGAAGATTCTGACAAATGGGGACGTGGAGATTCTCTTGTCTCTCTTCTCCATAATACAAAATATTATTGTCATGAAGTAGTAAATGCAATAAACAGAGAGGAAAAGCTTTTAAAAGAATGCTTTGGACAGATAGATAAAGGAGACAAAGAAGTTGTGAAATGTCTCTTTAAGCTTCAAATGTTAAAAATCGAATATGGAATACAGCTTTCCAGTGCAGCATCTCTCCTCTCCTCCACCGTCATTTCATTCATAACAAGACACATTTTTTCTCATAGTAAATGAAATTATTTATGAACTTTTCCACGTGTTTACTTGTTTTTTCAAAGAAAAAAATTCATGATTTTTAGTTTTATTTTATTCCTTACAATTTATTATACATCAGATTTCAATGTTTTATTTGTGTCAACGTTTTATAATTTTCTTACATATTTTATAACAAAGTCAAATCATATACACAGACCAGATAAAAAAAATTTCAATCATATACCTCTAATAGGGTTGTCTCCAATAAGATAAATGGTATACAAATACAAAGAGTTTGCAATCCTTATGCGTATATTATAATGAAAAAGAATGTTGTTTTTGTTATAGATGTATCATACAATATAATTTTAAGTATATTATAGATTTATCATACAATATATTTTTAAAAAATCTTAATATTTTAGTCTCGCTTTCTAATCTCTCGGATCAAAAACTCTAGTGTGTAGATTAAATGAAATTATGAGCCGTAATGGGCCTTTTCACATTTGCTGACGACGTCGTTTTGACAAAGGAAGTCATTTGGGTTTGACAGAGGTTTGTAAAACTCAGTCTATCGGAACTTCTTTATCGTTCTCCGTCTGAAAAAATCGGAACTTCTTTATCGTTCTCAATGGTGTCATATGTGTTAAAGGTAAAACACGTCATCACAGAGGGAAGAGAACACGAAAGGCTTTGGCACGGAGAGAATATTTGTGTACCTAGGTCGGCCAATTTCGATTATGTCGTATAGGAGATATCCAATTCGCTTTATGAATTGGGAGTGAGATGAAATCTCAGGATCGTCGCAATGTTCGGATGTGAAAATCGAGTTTCAAATCGAGAAGGTTTTGACAGAAATTCAAATGTAATTGATTTGGATTGGGTTTATGCTAATAACCCCTCCCCCCCACCCCCAAATATTCCAAAAAACACAGCGGACGGTGAAATATTGAAGAAACTGAAGCGCATGTATGACGATCATGGAAATCCGCACTTCCAAAACAGATTACTAGTGGTGTTTTACATAAAGATTTTAGCTTCAATTAATTGGTATAGCTAACTACATAGTATAACTGTTGAACTTGATCAAGGCAATGTTTTACATAATGAACTATTTTGATCACTATAATTGAGGTGATAACTAACTATTGTATATAACCAATGAACTAATACAACGGAGATATTAGTTACATAATGCAACTAATATCTCCATTGTATGTCTTGATCACTTTGGAGGCAATATAGGTTAGATCACTAGCACGAACAGGATTCCATGTACCTCTCCAAATTGTATTACCCTCCATCATCTCATTGAAAGAACAATTTTCTACAATATTGGTATCGTATCTAGGTTTATAAAATCTTAAAGCAATTTAGAAGTAAGTCTATAATAATTTTGTTTCAAAACGTAAAAAATAGTGATTTTGGGTTTCAAACCGATTACTTGTCTAATCATTAGCATCATAAACTCTCTCAAACATAATAATTCAAACATAGAAAAACATTCACTTTATTGTTGATTCAAGGGATCGACAATGAATTTATAATGGTAAGAGGTTCGAAGATTCTCGATAAATAAGTCGGAACTCATTGTTTGCTTTATAGA